ATAACTTGACATATATATATATATATATATATATAACATCTGTTATCAAGCATGTATTCTACCTTTCAGTGTTTTTGATGCTTGTTTTTGAGAATTAATGTTTATATTCTATTTTAACTAGGAAAAATTGGACATAATCAAATAAATGTCATATTAACTACAAATATTGTTCACTGATTATTTTAATGACAGAAATGGATGATTAATACATATAAAATAGCAGAGGTTAATAATTAAGTTAGCATACATTTATAAAAAAAATGTGTTGATGCATTCTTACGGGCTATTGGTCACTGAAACTATTTTGATCAAAAACCATTAAGAATGGGATTAGGCATCAAACAGGGAGACCAATTCTATGTAGAAAACAGTCAATAATGTCAGATATACGTCTTTAGAGACATTGTAAATATTACAGCTGGAAATGATGTTAACAACGATGATTTGGAAGATCCAAATTGACTTAGAAATAACAATAAGAAATATCCATTTATTCAGATTATCGTAAGGAAAAAAATGTGCATCCAGTTTATGCATATGTTGTTCTAGAACACCAGCATGGTTAGTTTAGTATACAGGTTTAACTTGTATGGGGTCATAGTGACCACACACTGGCATTCTAGGGTTAAGGACTATCTGACTAGCCATCCCTGATTTTGAAATAATAGCCTAATTGTAAAGCATCTAGCCAAACAACCCACCACCAACTCTTGGGCTATTCTACTGGAATACTAGTATCTATGGCCCCAAAGTACACTCTACATTTGTTTAGTTGATAATGGGGTGAGAATCCCAGAATTTTGGATCCACAGTCCAGCTTGCTAATCAGTCAGTATGTGTATATGAAAGTTTTTAAGAATCCAACAGAGTATTTTGGGGGTCAAAGAAACACTTGCATTAACATCCAATAGCAAAATCTCACCCAGTATATAATCAATTTATATACAGGTCAAACAGTACACTAAAACTATACTAAAGTGTATTTAATTGATACAGCAAGCTGGCCCTGTATAAAAACACTGGTAAACGGTTGCAAAAAAAAAAAGAGATTTTCCAATTTCCACCTGACAAGTTGACTGTCATCTATAGCAAAATGCAATATATATATATATATAAAAACAAAATTCATAGTGGATGAACAGTGATTTGATAATACTTGTAGAGGTAGTAAATTGAAAATATAATAATGAAAGATCGATGAACATGACATTTTAATATTGAACTGTTGAAATAATAAATGTATTTTAAAAACAAACAGTCACAAAGAGATACAAATATACGTTTTTGCTGACTATTATCTGAGAAATGCTATAAAAGGCAAATGAGTAAAACAAATAAGTGATGAAAAACAGATATAAATAATATCACTCATGCACATAAATTAAACTTAGCATCATTATCAAATGGGAAATTGGCTAGTTGATAATCCTACATCCCTATAAAAAAAACAATTAATAAAAATGAGAATTTTACACTACAAATAAGCCAGTGGATTCACTCTAATAAGATTAGATATTAATTTCTGGTGATAGCAAGCTACCTACACAAATGAAAGCTAAAAATATATATATATACCTAGTAATAAGTATAGCTAATTAAATATAATGTTCAAACTACATTACTACATAATGTTCAAACTACATAAAGTTTACATCACATGATTTCATGTCTGTTTCAAACACTTCTTGCATTCATATTCATTACCTTTACTATGACCTCCCTCTAATAATACTTTGACAGAATAAAATATTTCAAAATGGTTTGAACTTTTCACTGGAAGAGATAAGCAAGTTTAACATAAAACAATGTTTTAAAATTCATTTTTGTCACTTAATACACATTATACTTGTTTCACCATCTAGAGATCGATGTCCACACCTTTGTGCTTTAAGTAACATATCCATGCAATGATAAATAGAGACCTTCTGTTGCACTAGAGATAGAATCAGTCTATTACTGGACCTTGTACTATTACTACTTGATTCCACTGACATGGAATACCTCTGGTGAATTTTCAACAACCAACACGAATAAAATTTCTTTAACTTTCAAGCATCATTTCCCATTTTTGTTTAAATGTTAAGACACTTTAAAGTATTTTTCAAACTCATTAATGTGTACAAGTCAATGCTGGTGATTTTGGATTTTTCGCACTAAGCTGTAAGCCTGTTCTGTATGGGCAAAACAAGGGTCAGTTTATTAATATTAAAGCTAACCATAATTAACCCTAGCCTAGGCGAGTCTAATACTACAATGATAATTACTACAAATTCAGATTAAATCTACGGCTTATGTAAGAAATGAGAAGACAACTTATTTTCTTTACGAAAGTTTGTACTTTTTAATCTTACTAACAAATAATACAAGTCACTTAATTTTTTTACACTATTATTAGTACTACTACTACTGAGTACTACTACTAGCACTAATATTTCATTGCGACGTTTGTTTCCAAATATAATTCAATTTCAATACAATATCTTACCGCGTTAAAATCCTTATACAGTTACAAATACGAATTATACATATAAAGCCATCTTTATCAAATGAAACAGGAAAAATATTAAACTCACAATTTAAAGTTACAGTGGATACAAAAAAAAATTAAACAAAAGAAGACAACCAAACAGTGCTAATTTTTACCACCTATAATCTTGTCACGAGATCAAACAGCAGACGTCATTGTCAATAATCATGTAGGAAAGAGGGCGCTTTTTTATTTTGGTATTGTTCTTTGAAAGTAGTTGTTCAATTAATTTGCAATTGAACAATATATGTGTAATTTAATAAAAATTCACGTATAAATTAAAAACAAAATGAATGAACTGTCCGTTTGCCCAGCGCATTCATCACTAGTAGTACTCAATAAACTTTGGGATTTATATATTGATTATTCATACTGAGATTTTGCTAGCAGTGTTATTAATACTATATAATATAATATATATAATATAGATATAATACTAACTACCGAGAGGAGATTCTATTAATAATACAATTATTTATCTTATATGGTTTGAATTTTGCGCAAAGCTAAAGGGTGGACGTTCTACACTAGCCGTCCCTAATTAAACACTGATAGATTCTTGGGCTACTCTTTTACCAATGAATAGTGGGAGTGGCCATCACAATAAAACGCCTCCACGGCTGAAAGAGCGATCATATTCAGTGTGATGAGTATTCAAACCCACGACCCTCAGATTGTGAGTCTAGCGCCTTAACCACCAGGTCATGCTAGGCCAAGACAATTAAATTAGAGATTGTAAATGTTTTATGATTTGGAATGTTGAAGATAAAAGCTTCTTTTCTATTGCATTGAAGAAAATAAGTGAAAATTTGACATTATTGTAGATAGGAAATTGAATACTTCAAATGGAAATAGATATCAAAACAAAAAGAGATGAAAATGATGGGTTCTTCTTCTCGAAATACAGAATTCCAAAAAACAGAAGTTATCTAAACATTTGGTACCTAAAATTATGACTGTTGTTGAGAAGTAATGCTTTAGACGTAGTTTTTGGTCAAAACAATTCTTAATTTTTCAACTGAGATATTTTTGTCCTTGTTAAGGGATAATTTTAGGACTATTTTAAAAGTTACATGAATTGGTATTTTAGAGTTACACTTGTGTCATATTAGTAGATCTGTTGGCTCAGAAATAAGTCTGAAGGGTTATAACACTAAAACTCGCGGTTCGATACTCGTGGTGGACACAGCAAAGATAGCCCATTGTGTAGCTTTGTGCTTAATAACAAATAAAACAAAATAAAGCATTTAGTAAAACAGAGCCTAAAATTCATATTATGATATGGAGAATTACCATGCATTTTCTATATTTTTATGTCGTGTAGATATTTTCACTATTTTTCGTATTTTCTAGGTATGTACAATTTTCGCATAACGCTTGGTCAAGTGAATGTTTTACTTAGTTTCGTTCTAGCTTCCTTCGTTCCCTTGTCATTCTATTGGAGTCACGCCTGTTCTGTTCATAGTGAATGAGGGCATGGCTGTAATGTTGCACGTTGTGCAAATACGTGAATAACAGTGTTCTTCAATGGCAATTCAGGTGGTTTTTCAAGGTGACGGCCTCTTCTGTGTTAGAATGAAAATGACCAGTCATGTGTGTATTGCTAATTGTTATGTGTAAGCCTGATGCTACCTATTCAACTAGACAGCATAATATTCAGTCAATTTGGAAGGTTTTTTGAAATGGATCATTCAGTTTCAAAATAAGTCTTGGGGGAGTAGAGACACCCTGGTTGATTTGCAGTTCTAGTAAAGGTGACAGACCAGCAACCAAAGCAAGTACATGCACAATGTTTATAAGATTGTTTTATTGTGCATCACACTTTGTGTCCAGTTCATTTATTTCTTAGCACAGACTCAGTTTAGCAGAATTCAGAGTTATTCATAATTTGTTTTGCCAAGCCTCCCATTATATTGCAGACCTATATAATTTACCCTTTACCAAAATCAGTGTACTCTGTGATAAGTGGGAAGGATAAATTTTGATGCAGAGGCCATGAGATAGTTATTGTAGAGTTTCCTGTCTTCTGTTGACATGTGTATTGTCCTTACTTGAACTCTTGTTTAAAAGAGATGGTTCTTACTTATAGAATGACATTTTCTGCAAGTAGAAGTACTCAAGACCATGAAGGAGAGTTAGTTGCTGAAAAGAAGAAATTGTTGTATAAAGGAGTTGTTGGGTCTAGTAGAAGACCTCTCCTGAGTGTCAGACTTTTGCCAAAACTGCAAAAGTCTATGACTTTGGCTTTTCTGCAAACGAAAACTCAGGAAAATCAGCAGACATTTGGTGCAAGAAATTACTGAGGGTCTGAGGGAATTACTGTAAATTACTGAGGGTCACGAAGGTGGAACAGCACATATAGAATCTCAAACTGTATGAATCAATTTGTAAAATACACTTAGGCTACCTCTAGCCAGAGTAACAAAACTCACAATCATCTGAATAGGAGAGGAAGTGCCACTGTTGGACAAAGTCAGATCAGGTTATTCAGCGAGCATCAACTAGTGGAAGCTTCAAATCATATGGCAGTCGAGAGCCTGTACAAGTTGAAAGGTATACTACCAGGAAAACCATGGATCACAAAGAAACTGATGAATGAGCTGCTGGGTGCAACTCCTAACTCTGTCACTAACAGATGAGATAACATAAGTTCATTGAGAAGTTTCCAAATGAAACAGTAAGGCATCAATTAGGTGTGAGAGATATCTTCATTTTTATAAAGGCAGTTCCATAAAAATAATGTATGAAGTACTAACTTCAAACTGATCACAAGAGAGAAAGAAGTCTGCAGTTGCAGTTGCTGTGGCTACACTTTGGATGGACCATTCTATACAGCCTGTGACATCACAGCCACGTATTGGCCAAGAATCCACAAAAGAGAAGCCTTGGTTCCAACTACAGTTTACTATGAGCAAGGCAAAGCAGATTTCATCCCCGATGTTCAAAGATACAGCAAAAGAAGACATGGACCATTTCGTGAAGTGTTTCAGGCACAACTGTAAAATAGGAAAAATCAAACAATCCATTGAGCCGAGTTCAAAGTTCAGAAAACAAGTGCCATTGAGGATATGGCTACTTATGAAGATGATCTTTGCTATCTGTACAGTAAAGAATACCATGCTAAGACAGTAGTTGTAAAAGAATGGCCTCAATCTGTGACTAATGAAGTAGTCAACAGTTTTCTTGGCTTTGCATGGTATTATCAGCAGATTGTTGTCAACTCTCCAAGATAAGAGCACCAATGTCTGCTCTAATTAAAATTGAGATGAAGTAAGGAATTCGAGGTAGCATCCTGATTCCTAAAACTTGTTTTAGTGTAGGCTCTAGTGCTGCATAGCCATAAAAAGCCAGTGAGTTCCTATTGGACACCAAAGCCAGCCGTAGTGGAATTGAAGCAACCTTATAACAGCTGTAGAATGGAATAAAAAGGTACACTAGTTGTATGGATCATGACTCCCGAATGCAGATACTCTACAGTGGAAATATACGAGGTGTACAGTAATGACTCCTAAATGTAGATACTATACAATGAAGGTACACTAGTTGTATGATCATGACTCCTGAATGCAGATACTCTACAGTGGAAATACACTAATTGTACACTTATGACTCCTGAATGTAGATACTATACAATGAAGGTAC